AATGTCCTTTAGGTTCACTGAGTGTGTCCTCATACAATTTATTCAGGGCGAAATGTCACTATGAGATCTAGGCCTTCAGTTCAGGCCATAAATATCAAAACTGAAATAAACAACTCTATGATAATGGTAATTTCTGCTAGCACCACTAAGGGAATCTAGTAGTATCTTAGCACTACGCTAACGCAATTCACAGTCATTACTTCAGTGCAGTAACAATACTTGTAAAAGCACATACGTCTCGGCTGATCAACTACATTTGAGGTAATAGGAAAATTTCGTAAATTTGATTTTTGGGCAAACAATTGTTTTAATATAGGGAGGTTAGGAGGTAATAATGCAGGCATAGCAGAAATGACAGAAATGACAGAAATGACGATTTTGGGCAGGCATTTGTAAGTAAATGCAATTTTTGCTAGCACCCCTATGGGAATCTAGTAGTATGTTAGCACTACACTAATGCAAATCACAGTCATTATTTCAGTGCAGTAACAATACTTTTACTAGAGTATAAGTTAAGGCTCTACGCCGTGGATCACAACCCTCATTTTGAGCAATAAATGTCTCAAAAATGAGAAAAAACTTTCTGCTAGCACCCTTATGGGATTTCCAGTAGTATGTTATCAGACATTTGAAGCTAGTAAAGGACATTCCATATTTTATTGAAGCTTGTAACATATATTAACATATATTTGACCTTATATGTAGCAGTTTTACAGTGGCTCTTTTAGTAGTCATGTGCTGTTTTCCATTCTGAACAACTAACTGAAAAGCTGGTTAAACCTATGGCTTGTATTCACAGCTACTGACATACCTAGAACTTCCAGAAGGCCTAGAGTGACGTTTTTTCTCATTTTTCTCGCTCACTTTAAATTAAAACATGACGGTTTGATTCCTCCATTATTTCTTAATTATGCTGATTAATTTACTGTTTAAGGCCTTCAGTTCACCTCCTTAAGTCCTAACCAATGGGAGAGCTTGCTTGGCTGTACCTACTTGATACAGCAGAGAAAGAATCCTGATTGGATGATATAAAGAATTTTACCCCTTTTGTTTCCAACCAAAACGTAACAATGAAACAAACATTGTTACCATAATATTTTATTATACCATAATATTATAATAATATTACAAGTATTACCATAATAATTGCAGTGGAGTGTAATTGCAACAACCGTATTATATCAAATAAAAAATTACAAACAAAATGTATTACCTTCTAATCTCCCTATATTAAAACAATAACTCCCCATTTTCCCATTACCTTACATGTAGTTGATCTGCCGAGACATGTTTGGTATCTGCTTTATGAGGCTAATGTTGCTAACGTGTAATTTGAAGCTTATACTGCACTGGTTACCGCTACCCGCATACCTAATTAACCAAACCGACCTTGTGATTTCTAATGTTTTTTTCTCTTTTTTATCTATAAAAATGGACAAAAATACATGATAAACAATAGTAGAAGCCTTTGAAGCCTGTATTTTGTCCATTCTTTTGTCCATGTTAATAGATAGCAGTGTGCCGTACAGTGTCAGAAACCACATAAACACATCTATTACAGTTCTTAAATAGTTTTTCCATTTCAGATCCTAAGTGTCTCTCCAGATAATGGCACTGGATTTAAGGCCGCTTTGAGAAATACTTCCACCGTGGCTAATTCACTGAACTAAACGCTGTAATCTCTCTGGAGAGGAAAGTAGAGGTGAATTTCTGGCTGAGAGCCCTCAGCTTCAGCTTTGAAATGAAAGGAATTCGTTACCAAGCTGCTTTTGTGAGGATGGTGATGGGTTATCATAAAATAATAAGGTGGGATAGAGCAATATTCAGCCACAGCACAGCGAGGCACCTATTCTGTACTGAAGTGGTTTCAGAGAGGAGTAATAACGCTGTCAAAAACACATTAGGCCAAATGTCTCAGTGTAAGAGTGTTGATCTAGGATCCGGCCCATAAAGGAAAGGATGAAGGACAAATAACTGACCCTAGGTCGGCGCTTACTTTGAGACTTGGTGCACATTAGCAGTTTCGTCTTTGTGCAGAGTTGTTCAGCCCTCCTGAGCAGCCTCTTATCTTGATGACTGCCTTCCAGTCGTTCTAGTCAGCGCAATACAGCAGATAGCAACACCTTAAGAATGAACAGGAGAATTGGGAAACCCATTGAGACCAAGACGTTCTACAGATCCTGATGATTTGGCCTGAAGATTGGGCAAATTATTCTCTAGAGCAGTGCTCCACAAGTATGGGCGCACATGCTACCTTCAACTAAAGCTCATAATGTGGAATTGCCAACGAAAAATCAAAGAAACTTCCCATCAACTGGGAATCCCTGATTCAGAATCAGAGTTCAGCATATGACATGATATCACTGTGGCTGCTTGTGTCATCAACAGTAATAAAGTACTACATGTAATTTCAAATTATAGTAGTATTTGCTTTAGATCAATCAACACACAGAAACAGTTGGATAAATCTATAACACTGACCAAAAAAGGTTAAAGCTATCACTCACTAACATTTGCTGGCTAGCCTGTTGCTAAAAATACTGGTTGTCGTGGAGGCATCCATGTTTTTCCCCACTTTCATACCCAGCTGTCACTGCGTCTTAAGATGTCTTGACAGTATTTATAAGAAGTCTTGAGACATTTTCTTATGCCAAGTTGTAGCTCCACCATGAGGCCAAAACTGGTATAATTCAGTTTCAACTTCCCACTTCTGAGTTAAGTTAATGGAGCAGAATTTTTATTTTTAATGACCTTTTATGAAACTGGAGCTCAAAATTTTGCCCTGAGAAGTTAACCTGGCCCCTGAAGCTTCAGCTTAGCTACAAACATTTGCCAGTTTTATCCTTGTTAGTTTTATTCAGCTGAAGCTGTAGTGAAAGTGGTTTATGCTGAAGCTGTAGAGCTAGAAAACATTTGTCGAGTTAGCGCAGTTAGTTTGAATCAACCGAAGCTTTCCAGATAGCTGACAGCTTCGGGCTGATTCCGGCTACACAGCTGTTGGTTGACTACCTGGCAGATGTTTGGCATGCAGGCCAGAATAGGGCAAGACGCTGGACAGCTTCATTCGGTTTTGCCTCATGTCTATATTGTGGGCTAATTCTGGCAGACATGTTGTGGACCAACAGTGTAGTTGGGCCAGAGTTGGGACAGATTTGGGCCACATCCATTAGTTCTACTCACTTAACAGTGTCTGGGCCAAGGACCCAGACATATACTGGGCCAGAGCAAACTCAGATTTTGCTAACTGGGCTTAGCATAACTAGAAATCCCTGCTGAAACAGCAGAGACCAGCATGAATTCCTTCTTTTCCATTCCGAGTTAGTCTAGTTTTAGTCAACTGAATCTTTATTATAGGTAAAGAAGTCACTAAGTTAGCCTAGTTAGCTTTAGTCAACTGAGGCCTTAGCATAGCTAGAAACATTCGCTAAGCTGGCCTAGTCAGTTTTATAACGCTAGATGACAATATTGGTTTAGCCAGTTAAAGCAACTTGGTTCAGGACATACAAGTTTTGTTTCACCTGTAACTTTTTTTCTTTGTATTGAATTAAAAAAATAAAGATGTTCTATCAAAGATTATGTCTAAAAACTACAGTCAGACGACTACAAACTTTCTTAGATGTGACGTTAGATAAAACCGACAGTTAAAAACACTGACTCTCATTCACGAACCGTTCTTAAGAAGAAATTTCTTAAATCCCACTTAAACAGTTTTCATGATTTCGATGTTCACCAATGTTTTATCTGGGATTTGTTCTTAGGCAAGAACAGAATCTACACACACTCGAGAGCACCAAGGTGCGAACAATTCTGCAGCTTAACAACACGTCATCAATCTGACGTAGACCGTTTCTTAGGATCTTTCTCAAGAACAAAATTAAGAAGAAACTAAGAAGGTATTGGTGAATGAGGCCCATTGTGCGGACCACAGCTCCACAGGATATGGGGCATATCTCTCATATGAAACACGGCATTGGAAACTGACGCTGGAAACTGACGCAGAAAGGAGAAAAGAACTCAAACGTGTACAGGTTGTCTTAGATTTCACGATTTTGGACATTCCTGGTATAACAGTCTGCAGAGGAGGGCTGTTATTGGTGAACAAGACTGTGATAAGGTCTGATAAATGGCTCTGCTACAGGGGCATTACACACACTGAACGATGAGTCGGCAGGAAACAGTGAATGAACTGCTGGCATTTCCCTCATGAATAACACTTACTACTGGCTCACACAGGCTCTCAGCTACCTCTGCTGGACCGATGAGGGAAGTGCAACTAATCTGCACCTTAAAGTACTGGACAAAAATGCACTGAATTTTCCTTATGTGGTTTCTAACACAGTATATATTGATATTCGCATAAATAGACAGAAGATTTCATAGACTACAACATAACCGGTAGCAAACTGAGCTAGTTCTTCATACAGAAATGAAACAAATACTTTATGCAAAAATGCTAACAATGAATGAACATGTCTAAAAAAAAACACAAAAATGACACTCTCTCATACGATTATCCATAAAAATGGAAAAAAGTACATCAGCCATACAAAACGGTAGCAGGCGTCTTGAAGGATGAAAGCTAATGTGGGTAACAATGAAAGAACATGTCAGAAACCACATACATAACACTGTCTGACATACAGTTATCCATAAAAAAAGGGAAAAAAAATGGAAATAAAAACAGCAGCAGGAATCTTGAAGGATGAATATTGTTCGTACTTTAGTTCATTTTAGTTTTATTAACCACATAATCAAGTCTATCAGAGATTAACGAACAACTCCACACAGTACGAGGCGACTGGTGATTTAGCCTCGTCACCCCAGTGCTAAAACTTTGCGAATTTCAGACACCAAACTTATCTTGGCTACATCTGAAGGCGAAAATTGCGTTAATGTAATTTGTGGCTGAAGAACAGCTGAGAAAAACAGACAAATACAAATATAAGGAATCTACAGTTTATTACATCTCAGACAAACTATAATGAGTAATGGTGCTAACTATAAGACACACGGAGTACACACAGAAACCAAAATACACATATAAAACAACCAAATTCTGCACTTTTATACAAAAAAGACAAAAATAAATAGGCTGTCTGTGTATGATTTTAAAAATAAAGAATCTATACAGTCACAGACATCGAGGTGGATCTCCAACACGATTTCACTGAATGGAAATGTAGTAATCTGAGAAATCTCAGCGGTCAAATGTTCCTCAGTGCTCTGGGTCAAGGTGTCGTCATAACGACATCAACGGATGCTCAACAAAAGGTGCAGCGTGGATGTTAAGCGACTGAAACACAACGAAAACGACTCCAGCAGTGCTCAACCGAATCCCTATCGGCCACATATACAGCACACAGTCGATTACAATGGACAATGTTTTCCCTCCAATCACTGAACAGAAAACCTGTAAACTGAAAACATACTAAAGTTTTGGCACCCCTGGTGAAACGACGTTTTGATTTTCTAAGCGAAAACAAGTGAACACGTCCTCCATCCTGTGATCTCAAGATAATGAGTTAATTATCTCGTTATTATCTTGAAATCACAAGATAACTAACTCATTAAGGAGTTAACCATCTTGTGATTTCAAGTTAGAGTTAATTATCTTGTGATCAAGATAACAACTTTATGCTGAGATCACAATATAATTAACTTGTCTCAAGAGAACTTGTTATCTTGAGATCACAAGATAATTAACTTGTGATCTCAAGATAACAATCCAGAAAATTATAACTACCTCATGGCCTCTCCGGACTTCCGTAACAATTACGGTTTACTTCCTGAACTTAACATACTGGAGTAAAATTAAACATAAGAGAAGCAAATTGCTAAAAAAGAATAAACTAATCGCCAAACTGTTGTGTTTGGTAAACGACCACATACAGCAGAAGCAGCAGACAAAGATTTGGTTGAAAATGCTGGAACATTCCTTTAACCACCATAAACCCCAATAGCAGCTCGCTTCCACATCCGCGGGAAAACTGTTGTGGTTCTCGGCCGTCTGGTCCTTCAGAGGAAGCGCTGTTCCAAAAAAGGAACCCAATTCATACTGAACATGCAATAGGGCTGCACAAGATATCGCTCGTTAATAGTTATCGCAATGCTGGTCTTAGTACTGCATTAGATAATGCAGAAGGCTGTGATATGCAAATGAGCCCTCACAATCACCCTCACAGTGGTTGAAGGAATCAAGGTGTTCATGCAATCCAACAAAAGTCACTTATGTGGGTCAAAATAATGCCAATCTTTGACTGCGTCACATTAATGACTCTCCAATGAGTTGATAACTGCAATATGTAGCAATATAATCACAATACTGATACATATCGTGCAGCTCTAACCAACATGCAGCTCTAATCGCAGCTCAAACACGATTCTGGTTGAAGTTTCCACCAGTTTAACCAGCTGGTGTCAAGAAGGGCACAGAACAGTCTGAGGGTGGAGTGGTCACTCTAAAAAACTGTCCAGTGTGGTCAGGCTGGGGGTCAGCTTGCTCGGAGCTGGCCTGGACACCTTCTTCCGCTTGGCCTTCATGACGAGGGGTCTGATCTCAGCCAGTGGAGACTGAGTCACAGTGGAGTCAAGGGAAATTACTGCAATGTTATGAGTCACTTATTGACGGTGGTGCGTGGGAGCACAGAGGTAGAAATTACACAGATAGCGTAACCAAACTGGAGCTACCTACTGGGGCTAACACTAAATTAGAGGTGACCAGTTAGCATTTCCATATGAGGTTGTGCCAGAAATTGTTTCAGTTAACCCTTAACGTTTCTCAGTAATCATCATTTTGCTCTACTGTTCACAGCTTACGCAAAAGTTTGAACACCCATGGTGAAGTTACGTGTTGTTGATTTTCTAAGTGAACACAGATTAACACATCCTCTACAGAGAACACACTTAAATATGATTTTAAATTTCTATTTATTTGCTTTAAAAAGCAAAGTATTAGCTGAATATAATACATTAAATGTACCATAACTTTTGCACAGGCCACATTTATGTTTTTTTATTTCTCCAAATATTATAAATATAGCTTATAAAGAGTAACTGAGCATTAAAATGTGCAGAAGTGTGTCTCTGTAGAGGATGTGTAACTTATTTTCACTTAGAAAATCAACAAATACATGGAATTTGACCAGGGGCGCCAAAACTTTTGCATATGACTATATTACTACTATACAAATAGAGACCAATCGAAACAGGGATGATTTTATGACTGGGGTGCCATGTGTGTCCCACTGACGTTATAATTACAAATATATATGCAAAGTAAAGGTGAAACACAGGTAAATGTAACCCCTGTGTTTCAGATAAATAATACACTAATAAAGCATTAATAAAGTATCCACACTTCGCCGTTCACAGCCCACTAAAACTCACTTCACCATGAAATATAATCACTACAATGCCTCAAAAACCTCATTATTTTTGCATTAACGTGTGAACCCATTTAACATCTCACGCCTGAAACATCCTTTTTCACAAATAATTCATTATAAGTTGTAAAAAATTATAATTATAAAAAATATATAATATATAATTATATTAAAATAAATAAAAATCTATAATTATAAAAAAAATGTACATTTTAGTCCCTCAACATTCACTCGGCCCTGTTACCTGAAATTTTCACCCCTATCAAATATCTGGAATATTCCATGAGTCACATGTTCGACTGGAACAATGTCCGAATTTCCTGAAACATCATGGGAGGAAGGAAAGCCAATGTTCTCAATGCTTTATCTGTTTTCAATGAGGTTGTGACTTTGACTGATGAGGTCACCGTTAAAGTTCAACTCTGTTACCCAAATTATACACTATAAAAAATATTTTAAGTACCTTAATGTCCTCATATCATTAGCATGGATGCCAGTTAAGCACATTTTGTGTATTTTTCTAATTCTACTCTAACTCAGCCCTGTTACTCATTTAAGCCACCAAACACAGTCAACAAAGAAACAGCTTAAAAAATTAGGTTTTCCTCCTGAGAAGTGTTTATAATTTTTTATGGTTAAATGTGTCAAAATTAAAAAATGCTAAAAAAAAAAAACAAAAACAAAACAAAACAAAAAAAATCATTCATTTTAAGTAAAGTGTAATTTTTAAGAATTACAGAGCTAAATGGCTTCCTAATCGTAGAATCATATCGTATCAACGACCCACTGTTTCACGGTCATCGGCAAAAATATCACCCACCCACAGTCTCATGACGATAGGGCAGCATCCACAGCTCGGAAGTTAATGGGTGTTTGAGCAAATTTAATATCAAACATATAAATATGAAACTATATTTGCTATAGTTTAATATCACACATATAAATATAAAATTATATTTGCTTAAATTTTTAGCCTTTTAAAGTCGATTGGTTAAGTAACAAACTGCATTTACATTCGCATCGATACCATCAACACTATCAGTTTGTTTCAATGTGAAGGAATAAAGAAAACGTGGCAGAAATATAACAGACGGCTTTTCTTTCATGCTATAATTGCAACAGCATTTAGAACTAGACTTTCAGGTAGAAATGAAGGTAATAATTGCCCTGAAAATGCTAACATGAATTACAAGGCAATGCTATCCAGTCTCTTGTGGCTTTGGGTCATTACTGGAAACTTTAACATTCACATGTGGAGTCGAGTCCTGAATTAATCTACTGTCTTACTGGATGAAGCTGAGTCCAGTGAGAATCCTGCACAGTTCACTACTGAGTTTAGTATGTGCCCTGAAACCGGAGGAGGTTTGAGTTAATCAGTTATTTGAAGACAAATTTACAGAAAACAGCAGTTTAATACAAATCTCAGGTGAGGATACAGGCTGGATGAATTTGGTCCGTCCTCCGAAGCCATCGTAGCCGGTCCTTACCTAGAGTACAGATAAACACACGATCAGTGAGCGGCTGCGTGAAAGGTGTCTTTGTGAATGTGCTGCAATATTCATGTTTTTAAACATAACTGCAGTAATTATAACATAAAATTATATCCACCAGCGCTACAGTGCTCTTTCTGTTCACTTCCTGAAATCTAGTCTTTTTATTCAAGGGCTGTGTGGATACAGGAAAGTCTTACAGAGCCAAGCGTGTGTGTGTGTGTGTGTGTGTGTGGTGTGTGTGTGTGTGTGTGCGCACACACGGGGGGGATGTCTTTTCCAGTCATCACATAATTATTTTCAAATCTGACTGGAATCTTTTTTTTTATATGAAAACCCAGCGTAATATACCAAGTCGTGACGTTGTTTGCCGTATGAACACAGAGTCACTGAGAGCTGGGCGTGTGTGTTTGGGGAGGAATGTCTTAGAGAGCCAGAAATGCCCTGCTTTCATACAAAATCCAAAGAAAAACAGGACCAACGCGCGTGCACACACACACACACACACACACACACACACACACACACACACACACACACACACACACACACACACACACACACACCCAGCTCCCATTTCTGCAAACGTCAGTGCACCGTTTATATTTACTAGCTGAGTTTAACATTAAAAAATGTCTTTATGTCTTGTTTCATGTTAAATTCAGCGAATAAACAGTGCATTAATGTGCAGAAGTGTGTTCTCTGTATGTGTTCACTTATATTCATACTATCAAGAGTGAATTCTGAGAGAATCCCTCCTCTCCCCCAGTCACAGCATAGCAGTGATTCACAGTCATTACTCACTCAACTCACAGAACGATAAGCGAAAAACATTAACGTTTGTAAATGATCAGCTTGTTTTACTCATATCTTAAGTATTCAGACCTTAGATATTTACAAGGATTATGCTATGATCTATTTAAACCCAACACAATAACAGAAATAATAAGCTAAATATACAGTCAGTCATTCTTTTTTTCAATAATACAAATAATTATGTTGTTTTTCCCCCAACGGTTTTTTAAATTCCTTTTTTTTGTTTCTTTACAATGAAGCTAAAAGGTTTAGATTACCATGAGTTTAATTTAACTTAAAAAAATAAATAAATAAATAATAAAAATGCTGTGCCACATTTTAATGTCACTTTGAAAACAGTTTTGCTAGTGGCATAAAACATAGTTTTAGTCTGTAGGTGGAGCCTTATGTTAGCCACGCCCCTGCATTTTAGAGCAGGAAGTGACACTGCATCCCTGTGTGCTCCTGATCATGGCCACATGGTGAGGAGTTAGATCCCACTGTTTATAAAAATCAGTGTGAAACATTAAGAATTGTCACTACTGAAGCACATATTTTCTGCAGTTAAGTAAACTTTGTGTTTTAATGGGAAATATGATGATTTATTGTGTACAACTGTCCAAAAGCTGTCTGCGCTCGTCACATGCTGGCTAGTGTTTTTGAGTTCTGCTCCAAATTAGCTAAAATTGTCGTTACCAAAATATTCAGTAGTATTATGACTGTTTTGGTAGAGACAAAATAGGAGGTACCATCATTTAAACCCATGTATGAATATGTAGGGCATATTATCATTGGACAGGAATACTTACAGATCCCGGTTTGCTGTGGGGGTCCAGCATGCTGCCAAACATCTTCTTCCTGAAGATTAGAGAGTTGCGGAAAAAGGGCTCCATGGAATCCTCCTCCTCTTTGCTATTACAGTTCTAAGAGAACACACACACACACACACACACACACACACACACACACACACACACAGAGTTGCATCATGTCAATCATAATATCAATGCTGTCTGAGAGACACATTAGCTATGCATGTACAGCATATCAAATCTGTTTTAAATTCAAAAATCCAAACAAATCTTAACCTCAAATAAAAATTAACATGAATTCAAATAACAAAATCTGTGTCTGAATCCATTTCCTGAATCTGATCTGTAATCCTGAGGCACAGATAAATGGTGCTGCAGTGTCAGGAACCCATCTTCACCCTGTAGTGTCTACACACCTTATTCCCCAACACGTTTTCACTCTGTTTGGATGAAGATCTGTGGAACCAAACATGGGAAACCGATTAACCTCCACAGCACCGAAAAAAAGGTGTATTTTTATTTATTAAAGGGAAAGAGCGAGTTGTGCCACTCACGCTGCCGGATCCAGACGCATCTTCTTGGAGGGGACAGGAATGGGCTTTTTCTCCATCTGCTCAGGTGTGCTGATGTCAAAGGTCATGTTGAGGTCGATGTCCTGACCGTCGGTAGGCTGGTGCAGGCGGGGGGGCTTCAACTCTACAGGAGCAGGACTGAGACGTGCAAACAAATCAGAGTAAAACAGCAGCATATTAAAAAAGGGAAATTCCAACAAATTTTCAAAATTGCATAATTATGTGGTTAAGATGTAAACAAAGTAGGGCTGTCAACTTTAACGCGTTACCGCTCACGATTATTCACCAAACCTTAATTCATTCATTTTTTTTTAACACAACCTATTATTATGATTACTTTGATTCATTTTTAATCAGTTGAAACCACTAAAACAAAGTCATCCAGAGTGGTTTGATGTGAAATGCTGTGTTGGTGACAGGAGCCAGAAACTTCTTAACACTGAAACCTTACCTGTTTAGTCATAATGGCAATTTCAATTAGAACTGAATTTAGGACAGTAGCTATTACAGAAAAAACCGTTTTAACTGCATTATCTCATCCTACAGAAGCATCCAAACCAGATCAGATTTCCTCAAAACTGTCCTAACTTTAAGATAAACCCCAACAGTGTCCTAACTTCAGTTTTAACGTTCTGCATTAATAAACTTTAAAATCATTTAATCATTTTTAAGCTACTAAAAACAAAATCTTATTTTGAATGTTTTTAGGCACTGTCACGACTCCCTTCGGCTCTGAGGTCTCTTTGGACTCCATTTCCCAGAACCCCCTGGGGATCACATGACTCCTGCCTCACGCTCCAGTCAGCACTCTAGCTCTCCAGAGTACTGATCATGTCCACCTGCAGCTCATTGATTAGTTTAGTATAAAGCCCGGGCTGTTTGTTATTCTGGTTCGGACTTTTTGCCCTGTTTTTGACTGACCCTTTTGCCTGACGCCCTTTTTGGATCTGACCTATGCCTGTTTACTGACTTCGATTTCGGACTGTGTTTTCATCAGTAAAGCCTCTCATTCTACTTTTACCCGCGAGCGTCTGCGTCACTCTGTCCTTTTTACAGGCGACTACAACAGGCAGCATAATAAGTTCACTAACTAGCACAACGATGACCCATTTGTTTATACTGAAAATCGCGGTTCCACTTGAGTGATTTTTCTTTGTTTTTTAAACTCTGCGGTTCAAAAATCCCAGACACTGCAGACACGTTCGCCCTTGTTCCCTCTTACTACCTTCATGTGTTACTGTCAAATAAAATATTGCTTTGATAATTAAGAAAATTTAAATTTGTGGATGTTTATTAGGAGACATAACTTTAGCGCTGGCTAACGAGCACTAAAGAGAACCTTTACTGGGAAGTGCCCGACATTGCGTACTGTAACGAGTTTCACAATCAGAACAATCACTGCAACAAAATCAGCAAAAACTGAATACAAACCTCTCGAACACCAGTCGGCTGATGGCCTCGTTGGTGCGGGTGGGTGTGCTTAGTGTCTTCTGCAGAATCTCCACTTTCTTCTTCAGGCTCTGTAAACACATCACAAACAAGGTGCAATCACACCAAACAATTTTTTATTGCTTCATTTTGATTTATTTTTTTATTTGAAAACAACAGCTGACTTTTTTTGGGTTAAATAAGACGCTCTTATCCACAGCGACTACAATTTACATTTACACAGGAAGGCGATGGTAGTTGTTAGGAGTCTTGCCCAAGGACTCTTATTGGTATAGAGTAAGGTTCTAGCCCAGGCAGGGGCTTGAACCCCAGTTTACACCCCTGGAGGGCAGAGTTACCCAATACACTATACCAATTTACCAATTTATTAAACCCATTTCACACCAGATACAGTAACCACACCGCATGACGCGCCGCGCGCAATACCCTCCTATAGTAATCAATGTAGCCCATCATGCCGACCTTGGCATGCCAGCAGTTTCTATGCAAAGACAGTAAAGAAATGTAATGTCTACGCCAGGGGAGTCAAACTCAACCACTAAAGGGGCCATATTAAAAAATCTCAACAAATCCGTGGGCCTGCGAATTTTTATTTTTTTTTTTTCCCATTGTTAACACCTGAACTGGCCGTTGTTTATTTAAAATACGCAAAAACATCAGCAGTAAAATACAGGCACTTGTGGTAGACCTCGAAATATTACATGAATACTTTAAATATTCAAAATTTAAACATCCCCAGGAGCTCAGTCTTTTAAACCTGCCTATTTGCTTGAACTGGACACCTGACATCCTTTCTTTGCTGCAAGTTCATTAAGACTTAGGCTCAGTTTCTGAGCTGCTGAGCTGATGTTAAGTGTTTATGTTGGTTGAACTGCAGCTGAAATGCAGTTTGGTGATATGACTGGTGTGGAATTGTGTAGAACTGAGGTGTAACCGCTGTCCCATGGACTGCTGTTGGGGGAGGAGATTTGAAGCGCACATTATGTTGCAGTGCATGCTGGGGGCTGTAGTGCAGCTCACTGTGAAACACGCTAATATCAACAGAAATATAAAATACTTTTGGCCGGATAGGACTGTGTGGTGGGCCTGATCTGGCCCAGAGGCCTTGTGTTTGACACATGGGGTCTATGCTATAATATACAAACCAGGCTAAAAAACAAATCTACAAATCTAGTTTTAAGCCTTTGACAGGTTGTTTGAAATCCCTTGAATCGATTAATGCTGTGAACACACAGGCGTCTCCTCCGCTTCATCACCTGGTGAGGAAGTCAGCAACAGCCACGGCAGCTAGTCAAGATTTTACTGTTGATCTCTTTTTGTCAACTACATAAAATTTCTATCAGTAATAAACGAACAATACAAACGTTCACATTACGTGAAAACGCAACACAAACACCAACCACTGTTGCTTCGTGATGTGCGCGTTTCATCCAGTGTGGAATAACAAGCGTCGCGTACTGGTCCTGGATTAACATGTGCGCTGTGTCACATCTGGAGTGAAACAGGCTTTAGCATTCCAAGTCTTAAAATTGCCCCTTTTCCTGACTTTTTGGATCTTGCTGCAGGTATAAAAGAGTGGATATTTACTTTAAACAAGGAAGTTGATAAAATAAAATGTTACATATCTTTTATTTGTATTGTTTTTGTTTAAATGTGGGTTAAAGTGGATTTAAAAATCACTGCTTACTGTTTTTATTTGCATTTTAATTTCTACCAAATCTTTTGGAATCGGGTTTGTGTTTTACACATTTGTACTGTTAGTAAAGGGACTGTATATATAGTCTTACCGTGATCTCTTTGTCTGCATTGGTGAGATCGTTCTGAAGAGCCTTCATGTCCTCCTTCGTTCTGTTCATCTCTAATGTGGCTTTCTGCAACTGCATAGACGAACACGCAAACACAGTGAATGGGCAAATAAATGTTAGACGAAACGTATAAACTGGTGTATTTTGGCAGGAATTAATAGTTAAACTGATACTGATGAACTTATGTGATATCTGCAAAAATACTGCCAATAATTCTCCCTTCAATATCAGTACACATCATTTAATGTCGGTCATGCTCTACTAATTAATATGCATGTTCTCATTCAATATAAGCAAACTGTTGCTGTTGGAACAAAACCTTGTATCTCTAAAATGGAGAAATGCATATACATGAGTGTTGGTTCTGCTATTTGTCTACAGAAATATGAAACATACAGAAGGTCTTTAAAGGGAAGTGCTGGCTGAAATTTTCTGACTGTGGTTAAGGGATGTACCTTATTATTGGAGGAGAACACTTCCCTTTTCAGCTTCTCACACATTTCATTGGATGACCTGAGGCTGCTTTTGAGGCTGTCATATTCTCTGAAAGAAGGGAGAGAGAGAGAGAGAAAGAGAGAGAGATATGCAGACATACGGAAAATGAAATATGCTCTTTCTATCCTTCTTCCCAGTGAAAGTACAGCGTAAAAAGGGGAAGACGGTGCTGCAGTGAAACACAGAAGTGAATCTAAAAGGTCTTTCTAGGTTAGAGGGAAGTATAACCGCTGAGTCTGAACAATGAACGCAACAATTTCAACTATCTGAACATTTAACAAGACAAATACGGAGTGAAATCATCATGTTAACTGGTGACTGGCAGCCACCAACGATTAACCAACAAAATCACTGATGACAACGACTACGGTCTAATAAGTGTAAAGCCGGGGTTACACTACATGACCTTCACCCCTATTTTAGCCCAAATTCTCAGTCTGGCCGAGTCTGTGCTGGTCGGCTCTAGTCTGCAGATTTTTGGGTCAGTTGGAGTCGACAGTTGGAGAGACAGTCGAGTCGTGTTTGAGGAGCGCAGACTCAGATTTTTGACCTCCTGATCGCGTTTCAGACCAGTCAGAGTTTATCAAACGTTTGATTTTGTTGACCCGACTCTGAGTGTAATCTAGTGTAAACTGATCAACGTCTCAATCTGAACGGATTCCTGCAGCAACCAATGAAAACAGAGAGCGCGAAAGAAGAAAATACAGAAAAATGGCAAAAAGTCACGTGTGGAGCTTTTTAATGAGCTGAGTTTAAGGCACAATTGAGTTTATGTACATTTAAAACTCTAAGAAATACCAAACTGATCACATTTATAAATCCATAAGCCACTTAAACATGTTTACCTGCTGCTTTTTTACTGTCTCAATGCAAACGGCAGAAAAAACAGCAGTAGCAGCTCCACATTTGTTTATTTGGGTCTCCTAGTAACGGGAGAATGCGTGAGTTTGCGAGAGTTTGCGCGAGTTCAATAAGTTCCGTTTGGTTCAGTAGCGCCTTAAAAGTAGTGTGTGATCGCTAATTGTTTAGTGTGTGACCCTCAATAATAATAATAATAATAATAATAATAACAACAAGAATAATAATTTTATTTATATAGCACTTTTCATGCCAGTGGCAGCTCAAAGTGCTTTACAGACAGGTGATAAAACATAGTTATAGAAGAGATCATTAGTACTTAATTAGAATCAGAAGAAAATGAAGAAGATTAAATTACAAGATAAAAACCACGAGACATTCAGTTTTAGTTAAATGCTGATTTAAAGAGAGACGTTTTTAGATGCTTCTTAAAAGTGAGCTCTGAGCTTGACTGTCTGATAAAAGGTGGAATTGAGCTCCACAGTTTAGAAGCAGAATAACTGAAAGAGTCTCTCCATGTTTTCTGTATCTTACAGAGGGTCTCTGTAGAAGGCCACTACCTGCAGATCTTAGATTACGTACTGGAACATAAACAGACAGACACTCTGTGATGTAAGCAGGTGCTTTAGGGTTGTTTTGAGCTTTAAAGACTAGTAGCAGAACCTTGAAATCTATCCTGAGTGATACAGGCAGCCAGTGCAGCTCTTTCAAAATGGGAGTGATGTGATCTCTTTTTTGTTTTTGTTAGGATGCTGCTGTGTTTTGTACGAGTTGTAAGGGATGTGTAGTTTTCTTAGGAAGTCTTAGGAAGTACAGTAGTCAAGTCTGCTTGTAACAAATGCATGAACAAGTTTCTCTGAGAGAGAAAAGGCTGAACTTTAGCGACATTTCTTAAATGATAAAAAGCTACTTTAGTGACCGTGTTTACATGTGGAGCAAAACAGAGCTCAGAGTCTAAGATCACACCCAGGTTTCGTACTTCAGGTTTGGTAGACGAAGCTAAAGAACCAAGTTTCTCAAAAATATTTCAGTCGCCCAAAATAATCTGCAAAAACCAGTCAGACAGCGTGAGACGCCAAGTGTTTTATAATCAGTTAACACTTTGAAAGTCGTGTGGCTTAACGTCTAAGGTTCATATGCTCTAAGTGGTCATTCTGAAAGATTGTTATACAATATAAGAAGCACAGGTGGTGATAAAAAGGGCAGCACTATAAGTGGAGAAAGTGGCTCGTCACACAGACAGAAATTTGAATGATGGAAGTTGAAAGGCAACAAAGAAGGCACAACAGACGGATTAGACGACTGACTGAATAATAGTCAATAGATTAATAAACTATAGATATAACTGTTAGTTTGTGCCCCACTGGTGGACTACATTTCTTAGTTGTCTGAAATAGATAAATGTATCAACAAGGCAAACGCACAGAAGAGATGGAGAGGAGAAGAGAAGAGAAGAGAAGAGAAGAGAAGAGAAGAGAAACAAGAAAAGTTTCTTTACTTCTTCAGGGAGACGCAATAAATGGAGAGCTGTTCCACGGCAGATTGACCAACACCCATATCCGAAATCATGGCCTCCACCTCCGCCCGCTGACCCTGCAGCACCACATTCAGACTAAACGACAAAACAAAGACACAAAGCACAGTTAAAAAAAAAGCACAGCATGAAAACAGCAATTTTACCACTTTACAGACACAATCTTACTGTAGCAAAGTGTAACATATCATAATACAGTGCTGTGGAAAAAGTATGTTTTTGCTAATTTGTCACATTTAAATGTTTCAGATTATCCGACTAATTTTATAATAAAATAAAGACAACAGGAATAAATACAAAATGCGACTTTTAAATGATCACTTTATTTACTGAAGATAAAGATTCATTAAAAACCTGTATCACCCATGTGAAAAAGTAACTACTATTCTTTGCAGAATTGTGTTAATTCAGCTACGTTGGGAGGTTTTCAAACATTTCAAGCAACTGAGCGTTTAAGATCGTGTCACAGCATCTCAATGGGATTCAAGGCAGGACTTTGACTCAGCTTCTCCAAAACCTTAATTTTTCTTTTGAGCCATTCAGAGCTGGACCTGCTTGTGTGCTTCGGATTACTGTCCTGCTGCATAACCCAAAAGCGCCTGAGCTTTAGATCACGAACGGACAGGCGAGCATTCTCCCTCAGGATTTTCTGATCGAGAGAAGAATTCATGTCATGAAGAATTCAAGTCGTCCAGGTCCTGCAGGAGCAAAGCAGCCCTAGACCATCGCACTGCCACCGCCATGTTTCACTGCTAGTATGACGTTCTTATGGTGGAATGCAGTTTTAGCTCTACGCCAGACGTACCAGGACCCATGTCTTCCAAAAAGTTCCACCTTTGACTCATCAGTCCACAGAGTATTATCCCAAAAGTCTTGGAGGTCATCTAGATGTTTTTTGGCAAATGTTTGCGTTCTTTCTGATCAGTTGTTTGCGCCTTACAGCTCCCCCATGGATGCCATTTTTGCCCAGTGTCTTTCTTATTGTGGAATCGTGAACATTGGCCTTAACTGAGTCAAGTGAGGCCTGCAGTTCTTTAGATGGTCATCTGGGTTCTTTTGTGACCTCCTGAATAAGTGTTTGATGTCCTCTTGGCGAAATTTTGGTAGGCCAGCCACTCCTGGGAAGGTTAACCACTATTTTCTCCATTTTTGGATAACGGCTCTCACTGTGGTTCACTGGAGTCCCAGAGCCTTGGCAATGGCTTTGTAACCCTTTCCAGACTGGTAGATTTCAATTGCTTTGTTTCGCATCTGTATTTAAATCTCTTCAAAACGTGGCATCATGTTCTGCTCTCTGAGACCTTCTCGCCTGCTTCACATTGCCAGGCAGGTTCTATCTAAGTGATGTTTAGATTCAACAGGTCTGGCAGTGATCATGCCTGGGGGTGGCTAGTGAAATTGAAGCCAACAGTCAACTGAATTTGGTTAAGTGGTTGATTTAGTAGCCAAGGGGGAAATTACTTTTTCACATATGGCCAAGGAAGGCTGAACTGCATGTTTACTTCAATAAATGAAATCAGCATTTCCTGTTTACTTGAGTTATCTTTGTCTAATATTAAAAGTAGTTTGATAATCAAACTGATGAAACATTCAAGTGTGACAAATATGCACACTAGAAAAAAATGGAAAGGGGCAAATATTTTTTCCCAGATTTGTGGATATGGTAAGTATAATGACATAATACACACACATGTATTTTCTGAAACCGCTTATCCTTCTGGGTCTCGGGGGGGCTGGAGCCTATCCCAGTGGTATGACATAATATATTATAGTACATATATACACAAAATGAGCAAAACTGTCACACTTTACAGTGCTGTTAAAACATAATGGTGTTTCATGGAATTGTTGGTGTCCATCCTTCCACAAGGGAATATAACAAATAATGATTTCAGTGTTTGAATACTGGCACCTGGAACGGTCAACTGAGTATATCCGCCTTAATCTCATGTAGTAAAAACACGTACAATAAGCTGCGACGTTGTTGTCTTTGTACTATTTTTAATAAAAAATCATGGTTGAAATGATTTGCACATCATTGCATTATATTTTTATTTACATTTCACACAGCGTCCCAACTTTTTTTGGAAACGGGGCTGCAGTATTATGTATGGATATTTTTTTTTCCTTTAGCATTTGAACCCCACTTCAAAGAGCATCTCTGATATGTGTATGTTTATTTCCCTGCCAGTAGCACTCTCTGTGTTTGTACTACAAACAATGTGTGTTGTTAATCACCACATCATCTTAAGCACAACCAATTGCGCACAACTTTAATCTCTTTTCCTTGGGCAGGTTGATGTTTAAAAATATGAACAGCACTTCCACATAGAGGCAAAACAAAACAGCACCAGACAGCATTAAAGAGACACAGTTACCTCTCGTAGGTTTTCATTTTGACTTTGAGTCGTTTGGCTTCCTCTTTAGCCGCTTCGCTCTCCCTCTGATGGCTCTCCAGATACTGCATCTGCTTCTGCATGTTTAAACAGACACTTCAGCCAACAACACCAACGCTGACACTGGATGAAGATTAGCAGCATTACACAAACGACAGCCGGCTGCTGCCCACTAGAGCACGTTCATCATTAACAACACTTTTCGTCAGAATCACTACAAACACTGCAGTACGAGAATCATGTAGAATCTCAAGCAAATTTTATTTGGACTTTTATCAGTTGTTCAGTTTCAGCAGAACTGCATTTTATATTCATATGGAGGGTCTTGTCTTTGCAGGCCAACAAAAGATTTCACTGAATATAAACCTGGCTTAACCCTTTTAAATCTAACTAAATCTACCATGATAAGTAAAAAATGCTACACAACTTATTCTGATTGGTCTAAAGCAGGGGCCTTCAAACTGGTGCACAGGCAGTCCAAATTTTTGCTTCATTCGTATGCATCGCGAGTGACAGTGGAGCAAAAAACGTGGACCACCTGGTGGGCCGGGAAGACTGGTTTTGAAGATCACTAGTTTAAATTGAAAAACCTTTGTATGCGTTTAACAGTATCCATTTCATTTTTTTGTTATACATGCATGTTTCTTTTGTCCCAAATCAAACTCATCCAGACCAAAATGACCTACATGACTGAATTAAACGCATGATAAATGAAAGCCAGAAACATGTGGACACCTGACCATCGCTACTATGACCTTTTTGGACACCTCATTCTAAAACCACAAGCATTAATATGAAGTTAGCACCCCTTTGTGGCTACAACAGCCTTCACTCTTCTTTCTGGGAGGCTTTCCACAAGATTTTGGAGTTTGTCTGTGGGAATTTGTGGCCTTTCAGTCTAAAGAGCATTTGTGCATCTCACTTGATGTTCCAATTCATCCCGAAGGTGTTCACTGGGGTTGAGGTCAGGGCTCTGTGCACATGGGCTCAGTCATGCTAGAACAGGAAAGGGTCTTCCCCAAACTGCTGCCACTACGTAAGAAGCATATAAATGTCTAAAACGTCTTTGCTGTAGGATTAACATCACCCTTCACTGGAACTGAGGGGCCCAAACTCTGAAAACAGCCCCAGCCCATTATCCCTCCTCCACCAAACTTTACTGTTGGCACTATGCATTCTGGTAGGTAGTGTTCTCCTGGCATCCTCCAAACCCAGATTCATCCATCAGACTGCCAAATAGTGAAGTGTGATTCACTCTAGAGGACACGACTCCACTGCTCCAGAGCCCAGTGGCGGTGTGCCTTACACCACTCCAGCCGATGCTTGGCGCTTAGTATAGTGATGTTAGGCCTGTGTGCAGCTGCTCTGCCATGAAAACCCATCTCATGAAGCTCCCGACACACAGTTACTGTGCTGATGTTGTTTCCAAAGGCAGTTTGGAGCTCTGAATATATGCTTGAAATTACACACCTGTTACCAATGGGTGTGGATGAAAGTAATTAGGAGGGCTGTCCACATACTTTTGGCCATATAGTGTGCATAGCCTACGTTTCTAACACTAGCCCTGCAGACCTGTTCAAACCAGTGCTAAATGTGGTTCCAGGTCTTAATCTCTCATATCTCAATGCTGAAGTGAAATTTTAATTCTGTAGCTTTTCGTTCGGCTTTTCTGTTCCACTTTAAACAGATCAGCAGTTGTATTCTGGAACCTACACAGGCGCCTGAATGTAAGTGCTGCACCATTTAAGGTGGAACAGGAATTTTGAATAAGAAGCCAAGAACAGACACGCAGTCTTACTCGAAGGGCAGTGCAGAGCATCTCTTTCTCTCCGACTTCTCTCCTCACTCTCTCCAGATCAGCTCTCTGTTTCTCGATTGTCTCCTTCAGACTCTCAGCCGCTTTCTGCTTCTCTCGCCAGTCCCTCTCTGAAACACATACACACACACAGACAATCCCATAGCACACCAACAGACCAATACAACGATCAATGATCAGTTGCCAACATGGGTGAGAAAATCCACTGATGTACTGTGATGCGGTGATACTGCTTTTTTTGGTGGAAGAATCTGCCACTATTAAAGCACATTTGATTCAATAATCAGGTCCTTTTTTCTCTACTGTTTTCTTTATTTGGCAGAACTATTGTATAAAAGCAGAACTAGAAGAGAACAGTTGACGGCTGTGATGATCTACCAAACTCGCTATCAGTTCTTGCCTCTGACTGAATCACAGCTGTGACGTTTAGTTATAATGCATTCACTCTCATTTGTTGCTCAAGTATATATCTTTGTAAGCCCTCTTAGAGCTTAACATGATAACCACAATGGCGACAATGATAACAACAATCATAATAATAATAATAATAATAATAATAATATCGTCCAGATAATGGGAAGTATAATTCATGTAAACCACCCCTAATTCGAAAGATTCTTAATAGAACAAACTGTTTTTTCTCTCACCCTTTTCACAAAAAGCCGCTTTCATTCTGTCCAACTCATTCTGAAAGACAAAATTCATTACTTTAAAAACACCATAACACAAACTAAACACAGCGAGATCAAAGTTTACTGCCATGTAGAATTATTTCTACTGATATATATATATATATCTGCAGAATTATATCTATAACACAGACTACAGTCAGACAGATGCTTTTTACTGGCAACATGCTTGACAAATATATGCTATTCTCACAAAATATCATTTCTTCTATGAATTTTTAAGAAAAACAAGACAAAGATCTCTTTACATTCTGAATATATATCAGAAATAGTGAAATAGCAAACTATTACAAGTCTATATTCTAAATACTACACTTCTAACACAATATACAATATTTGCAATCTAATTAATAGAAGAAACAAAAAAAATTCTAATCCGAAAACTGATTCATCACCTGTAAGATTTCTGGGTCTGCTGCAGATCCTTCTTCCTCCGGTGCGATATCGAAGAAAAGCTTATTGATGATGTGCCTCGTGCTGACCTAATGAGCACAGAAGAAGAGGTTTAGAAGAAAACGTTTGCAGCGATCATCATAATTCCACTACATGGACGCACTCGTCTCAGCTAGTAAGAAAGAAAAGAATTTGATTCTGAAGCTGAGGGTCACTGACCTGTTTCCTGCATTGTGGACAGGTTTTAGTGGGAGCAGACTGGAACCACTGAAGAAGACTTTCATAAAAGAAAGAACACAAAACATAACAAAATGAAAATGTTATGAGTAAAAAGTTTCACTCGTACCTAAATACAGTACAAATCTTAAGAAAAATACATTTATACAAGTATAGCAACAAAGTACAGTCACTTAAATATTTTCCATGTCTGATCATACTAGAGCACTGTTTACATCTCCGATTATCTCCAATCCTGTGTTCCAGCTACACCGCATAGTTTCCCCTTTCCCTCATCACATCTGATTTAGCTCCAGAATAACTTCATCATGAGCTATTAAGGATGTAAAAATACAGTTTTTTGAGAAATGTAAGATTTCATAACACACAGAATCGTTTCCTAAAGAACTGTAATCAAATCCAATCACACCTTTATTAGCTAATTATATGAGGGCAGGAAAAACAAAAACTACTGGAAGTTTAAAAACAGTGTATTGGGAAATATTAGCCTCTTACCACACATAGTGAAAAGTGTGGCCACAGTGAATTGCAGCCACATCCTTTGAGTGGTCAAAGAAATCCGAGCAGATGGTGCAGTAAGCCCGAATGGGCATTGTGGCCAAGATCTGTGGACATAAAATACAATAAGTATCTAAATGTTGGACTCAAGACTTGGACAAGTCCTGCAAAGTTTGGAAAAATAAATAAATAAATTATATATACACACACACACACACACACACACGTTTTTTATATATATCTTAATTGCCTGGTTTTACTTGCTGGTTTAGCTTTTGCGTGGGGGTTACCTTTTCTTTCTCTGACTAAAACAGAGGGAACGCACTGTTTTGTTAAAGCTGTGTGAGCAGGACAGACCACACCAGCCTTGTGATTGGTGAGGATATTGCCTATGAAGTGCTACCCAAGATTAGGACCACCATTTACAGCAAAAGGGGACAATTTTGGAGAAAATTATTTATGGGCCCTGGAAAGTTCTCCACAGAAGAAACCTAATACATATACATTCAAACAAGATTAACCTATTTAGAAAGGTTCTCTGGGCC